TGGCACAGCAATAGGCTGCCCCAAATTTAAATCTGAAACCACTGTAAAAGTCTGACTCACAGACGGACACAATACAGAAGCCTGATGATGGCAGATGAGATTCTGCTGAAACGTTGCTACAACTTTAAAAGCACCACTACTATGACGTGGGAAAATACCCGAACAAAGCTGAAGGCCATACATGTAAGTACCCGCGAAAACTTAAGAAAATATATATATATATATATATGTGTGTGTGTGTGTGTGTGTGTGTTATGTCATGTCTCCCCTTTAATTTCAGATGAGCAAAACAAAATTCAGCCGTTTCAGAATTAACTCAAATCAAAAACAAACCCCCACAAGAGAACGGCTGAAGTCCACACTCTGTCCGGCAATCCTGGCGTGGCAGTAATTCACAAGCCTCAGAGAGTTTGCTGCATGTCTTCACTCCCATTTAGTCACTTTGCTTCTGGCGAATTCCACTAGCCCAGCCGTGTCCTTTTATCCACTTATGGAGCGTGTTAATTTCCCTAATTAGTTACTGGCTCGACGCCTCCTTTCTAACTGAGATTGGCGTCTCAGCCTCCTTCTATTTCTGACGTCAAGCCATAAGTTCTCCAAATTGTCTTCCCCGCTGGAAAACTCTCACATGCCTTCCTTGTTAGCCATTCCCAGCTGCTGCTCAGATAAAGAACCAGAGGAGGTTGAAGGTCCTGACAACTCCAATAAATCAGGTTTATCTCCCCTTGTTAAATCCATCTCCTCATCCTGGCTACTATCCAAGTCACTAAGCAATGCTGGCTCATATTTTGCTGCCATATCCTCGTCGCTCGAACTCATATCTGCCACAGGAGCAGATTCCAAACCCGGAGTCGCAACATATATGTGTGTGTGTGTGTGTGTGTGTGTGTGTGTGTGTGTATGTATATGTATATGTATATGTATATGTATATGTATATATATGTATACAATACAGAAGCCTGATGATGGCAGATGAGATTCTGCCGAAACGTTGCTACAACTTTAAAAGCACAACTACAATGACGTGGGCAAATACCCGAACAAAGCTGAATACCATATATATATTTCTTAAGTTTTCGCAGGTACTTACATGTATGGTATTCAGCTTTGTTCGGGTATTTCCCCACGTCATTATGGTTGTGCTTTTAAAGTTGTAGCAACGTTTTGGCAGAATCTCATCTGCCATCATCAGGCTTCTTTATTGTGATGATGGCAGATGAGATTCTGCCGAAACGTTGCTACAACTTTAAAAGCACAACTATAATGACATGGGAAAATACCCGAACAAAGCTGAACACCATACATGTAAGTACCCGTGAAAACGTAAGAAAACAAATGTGTGTGTGTGTGTGTGTGTGTGTGTGTGTATGGTATTCAGCTTTGTTCGGGTATTTTCCCACGTCATTATAAATACCCGCGAAAACTTAAGAAATATAATACATATAAATACCCGCGAAAACTTAAGAAAACAAATATATATACGTGTGTGTGTGTGTGTGTGTGTGTGTGTGGTGGAGAAGCTGGCAGATGTGATCTTGAAACCACTGAATGAAAGCTTTCAGATCCTAGAGCAACAGGGAACTGCCAGGAACCTGGAAAAGAGCTGATGTGGTTCCAGTGCTCCAAAAGGGCAAAATGTGGACCAATCAGTTTGATTAATACCTGGGAAAATCATGGAAAATATAATCAAACATTGGAGATCCTGCCAGATAAACCTTATTGCTTGTTTGATAAA